TTCGGAAATTCATTCTTATATAGTTAAAAGCAATAATCTTTCAACTATTTTTGGCGTGTTGTTCAAAAAAATATAAAATTTAAGATTGTCGTGTTGCCATGACAACACTGACGTAAACGCGAGCCTGCGTTCAGTGTTGATCAATTACTAACACAGTACTTCATGTAAGTCGATGTTTGGAAAATATAGGCGAGGGGTTGCTGCATGCATGTATTTCTAGTTAATATATATATATATATATATATATATATATATATATATATATATATATATATATATATATATATATATATATATATATATATATATATATATATGGGATCGGATTCTGCTGAGGCTGAGGTGGAAAGCATTCGGAATTGGTCAGAAGCAGATCAAATGACATTAAATCTTTCTAAAACGTGGGAAATGGTTGTGCACTGTGGGTCCATGAAACCGTTACCGACACCGATTGTAGGCATTGAACGAAAGAGCTGGTTGAAATTATTAGGTGTCACATTTCAGGAAAATCCATGTTGCTGGGATCTTCATATCGATGATCTTCTGTCGAAGGCCAGCGGGCGTATGTACATATTGAGAGTGTGTAGATGCTATGGTTACTCTGCAGATCAGCTAAGCAAATTATTCGATTCGCTAATCATGTCACTCTTTTACTATTGCATTGAAGTGTGGGGCTCTGCACTCCAAAAGAAATATTTGGATCGTATAGACAAGTTTTTCCGGCGGGCTTATCGTTATGGATATACGACAAAGAGTATTAAGATAACTGAAGTGATCGAGGAGAGAGACAGAAAATTATTCAGCAAAATCCTATCGAATCCAGAACATGCCCTACATGAATTGCTTCCTGTGTGTAAACAAAGGATCTTAAGACAAAGGGAACATAACTTTATTTTACCTCAAATTAAAACGGAGCGATTTAAACGATCCTTTATAAATAGATATCTTTTTAACTATTTTTAACTTTTATATAATTAATTAGGATAGATCAATTTTTTTAACTGTAACAAATAGGAATTTGACATTTGTAAAGTTGCACGTCTGTTGTGACTCTAGACAATAAAGACTTTAATAATAATAAATAATAATAATAATAATAATAATAATAATAATAATAATACAACCGGAAGTACGTGATTTTATAAACCTCTTTTCAATCTGCGCATGCTCACCAATACGTTTCGCTGCGATACGGGCGAAGTGGAAAACCGGCTTAAACCACTGCGCCACAAGGAACCCGCTCAGTTAGCTTGTAAATAATTTTAGATTATGCAAGTCTGTTTTAACAGATGCAGTGTAATACTAATTATATGAGAGATGCGAGACGAGATTTAACAATGCATTATCTCTTTATTTCACTCTTCAAATAACCAAAATACAGTGAATTTCAAAGTAAACTAATAACAAACTTTAAACTAAGTTCCCCTCTTTACACAGTCCGCTGACCTGCGCCTGCTTCTCGTCTTTTTGTAAACGACCTAAATAAGGCAAAGAAACAATATCCCATAACAACAATGCATGGGGAGGGAAACAACGTGGCGGGAATGCATTGTTAAATCTCGTCTCGCATCTCATATAATTAATATTATACCGCATCTGTTAAAACAGACTTGCATAATCTAAAATTATATTTCGAGATACTCGACTTCAATTTAACAATGCATGTTTAAAGCCCACATTAATTTATACTACTCGACAAAACTGCTTTACCAGGTGACGAGTTAAAATGCGGTCTATAATAAAATTTGCAAAATGTATTTTCCTGCGGCCAATCTGCCATCTTCAAAATCTCGGGAACAGCAACCCCTTGATTTAATGCTTCCGATGTAGCGGCACCCCTTAATGAATGTGCAGAAAAAATCGCTGTATCAATACCAGCTAGACTTAATAAACGTTTTATCCACCTGGCCAACGTAGATGAAGATACCGGTTTAAAAGGCCGTATATGCGATAGAAAACAAAGGATTAGGTTGTGTATTGTCCTTTGGTCTGGACTCTCTAGTTTTATATTCATAAGATTTTAAACACTCCACAGGACATAAATTCTTATCCTGAGGAAAAGCTGCATGAAAACTAAGCTTTGGGGAATCTCCCACTTTAGAAGTCTTGGACAAACCAGGTAACTCGAAGGACACTCCTTCAGGAAGGAAGTACGGAATCGTAGATCTCTCTTAACCAGATCTGAAGATCTATCTGGAGCCGTAAGCCCCAGCATAATTACTAACTTAAATGATGACAGTTTGAGATCCAAATTCTCATTTTTACCCAGGGATCTAATAAAGGCTATTACAGTCCCAACCTTCCAAGTATACGAGTACCGTGGTTCAGGTGGTCTTAGATGGAAAACACCTTTTAACAGTTGAGAAACTAATGGGTGAGACCCCACCCTAAATGAATCAATCTCTGGTAAAAGAGTTGATACAGTTGAACGATACACATTTAGAGTCCTATATGCTTTCCCCTCTTCAAAGTGATCCTTAAGAAACTCTAAGATTGCACTTAAGGGTGCTGAAAGAGGATTGACTTTCCGCCTATCACACCAGCCATAGGCACCAGCTAACCCACTTATTCTAGGATGATGAATAAGTAGATGAGGTGTTCTTTCTCCAGGCTGCCAACAAAATGTTTCGAGTTGACTCCGAAATGTCTGCTGTTTCATAACGTTGGCTGACAGTCTCCAACCAGCCAGTTGCAGACTGGTTAGAGGGTGAGGCTGGTTGTCCCTCATTAAAAGTGTTGGGGACATGGGAAATAACACTGGGAGGTCTATGCACAGATGAAGCAGCAATGGGTACCATGGCTGAGCTGGCCATAATGGAGCTACAAGGATTAACTGCTCGACATTCTGAGTCATTACCTGCTGTAGACATCGACCTATCAAAGCAAATGGGGGAAAGGCATACCCCTGCCTGTTCTGCCAACTGATCGAGAATGCATCTGAATGTACTGCTAGGGGGTCCGGTCTCCAACTGACAAACTGTGGCAGCTGATAAGTTAGACGTGATGCAAAGAGGTCTATCTCTAAGGGACCCCAATTCATCACCAGAGACTGAAACATTACGGGGTTTAGTTTCCAGTCGCTGGAATCTAGTAAGAGACGTGATTCCCTGTCTGCTCTTATATTTAGATGCCCTGGAAGATGGTGAGCAGAAACCTCCATGTTGTTGTGAATGCACCACTCCCATAGGTCTAAAGCTAAATTCGATAGGCCCTGAGAGTGAGTTCCCCTCACTTTGTTTATGTATGCTACAGCTGCTGTATTGTCCATTAGCAACTTCACATGTGCACAAACCTTGTCCTTTGTGAAGGTCTTGATAGCCAATGACCCTGCTAGGAGTTCGAGGCAATTGATGTGCAATCTCTTTTCTTCCAAGCACCAAGGACCCCCTGTACTGATGCCCTGGCAGTATGCCCCCCAACCCTTTCGAGATGCATCGGTCTCGATGATCAGATCGATTGGTTTTTGGAACAGCGCTCTGCCATTCCATGCTAGGAGGTGATCCCTCCACCAAGCTATCTCTTCCCGGGATGCTTGATCCAGAGAAATCATGGCCTCGTAAGATTGGTGAGAAGCCATTGCTTGGTTTTCAGTCTCTGTAGATTTCTGAAATGGAGGGGAGCTGGGAAAACGGTCTGAATGGAGGATGTCAGGAGGCCCAGGAATTTTGACAATTCCCGTATTGAGACCTCTGCCTGATCTTGCAGCTTTTGGCAACGTTTTCGAATTTTTCTTAACTTCTCCCCTGGTAATTGAAGGGTAAGGCCCCTGGAATCTATTAACAAACCTAAAAATTCTAGTTGCTGACTGGGAACCAATTGGGATTTCTTGTAGTTGACCAAGAAACCCAGACTCTCTAACAGGTTCAAAGTTGATGCTGCCTGATGGAGCACAAGATCTTGAGACTCTGCCATAATAAGGATATCGTCCAAATAAATTATCAGTCGGATACCCCACTGTCTCAACAGTGCTACAACTGGCTTCATCAACTTTGTGAAAACCCTTGGGGCTGTGGCTAAGCCAAAGGGGAGGCAAGCGAATTCCAGCATGTTGTCTTTCCAAAGAAAGCATAGGTACTTCTGGTGATTTTTCCAGATGGGTACCGTCAAATATGCATCCTTCAGATCGATCTTCACAAGCCAGTCCCCCTGCTTTAAAAGATCTCGTAACATATGGATGCCTTCCATTTTGAAGTGCTCGTATATCAAGTATTGGTTTAAGGGTTTTAGGTTGACTACTGGGCGATTGCCTCCATCCTTTTTTGGGACCACAAACAAAGAACTTATGAAGCCATCTGTTTGCTGATCCACTGGGTGAACAGCTAGTTTCTCCAGCAATTCCTTTACCTCTTGATCTAAAACGGTCTCCAACACTGGAGAGAGTGTTGGTACCCTTGCTGGAAATTGTTGAACAGGTGGCTTTATAAACTCGATTTCATAACCCTGGACTACTTGCAAAACCCAAGGGTCCTGAGTAATTTTCTTCCAGATTGGACTGAAATACTTCAGACGCCCTGTTGGGGGAAGGCATTGACCCAGACTGGGAAGAACAAAATTTGAAAACATACCTTTGGGCAGATGTTCTGGTCGAGTATGTATTAGTGTTGACTGAATCTGAAGTTTTGGGGGCTTTGGAATCTCGGGAACTGACCTCGGCTTCTGGTTGCTCTTCCCCGACTGAACATATTTTGGCGAACGAACGTATGTGGTCGGGTTTGCAAGGGGCGATAGGTATTCCATGGCCGGCCTCCACTGCTCTTGGAACTCCACGGGAGGCCATCATGGGGTGTAAATATCATCAACATTTGGACGAGGGTATGCTTTTACTAAACTTCTTCGTTCAAATTTATTTAAACGTTTGGGGACTGTTCCTAGGAACTCAGTCAATTGATCACTGGCCTCCCAACGAGAATTCGGGGAGAAAATTTCATCTTCTGGGTTGTCAATGTTCACATTTTCTTGAACATCCGACTCGCAATCGATCGAAATACACGTGCGAGGTCTTTTAGGTGGCACTTCTGATTCAATATGTTCATCAGAAACTCGTTTTTCTGCACCCGACTGATCCACTGATACTGCGGGATTTACAATTTGATTTATGCCTTCTATTATACCCGTTTGATCCACTGATACTCCGGGATTTATGACTTCTGCATGGCCTTCGGGCACAGCAGTGTTTTGGCTTGAGACTTCGCTAGAATTTGTATTAAAATTCTGGGCAATATTTGACCAAATTGCGGAAGAAATCTTGGTGATAAAATCTCGATCGGCCACGATAGCCTGAGCGAGATCACTAGGGGTAGGTATCCTACCTTTGTTACGTTCTTCGTGCTCGGATGGTTCAGGATTTTGAACAATTTCCACTGCGTCGAAATTTTCTTTGTCCGCCATGCTTCTGGATTGAAACAAAAAGACGAGAAGCAGGCGCAGGTCAGCGGACTATGTAAAGAGGGGAACTTTTGTTATTAGTTTACTTTGAAATTCACTGTATTTTGGTTATTTGAAGAGTGAAATAAAGAGATAATGCATTGTTAAATTGAAGTCGAGTATCTCGAAATATAATGTACTTTAAAGGAGTAAGCTAAGATGTAAAATGTATTAAATCTTGACAGGATCTTGATGCGAATACGCTGAATACGCAGATATTTTGCAAATCTTTAGCTCTAGTAAACGCTTAGCAAGCGTCTTGATCTATATAGTTTAACTTGTATATAGTTTAATGTGTATATTCTTTAATTCGTAAATAGTTATTGTGTGACGCCCCTCATGAAAAGCAGCTCACGTTGATCGAGGCTAGCGTGTTTAAATAAAGTTTTACCATACCATACCATACCATATACTCATGCAGTAGGGGTAGCAAGGGGTAGCACGATTGAGCACTAATTATTAACTAAAAATAGCAAATGTAAACAAAGGGTATTTTGAACCATATTTATCACCTAAACTATAAAGGCTGTTGAACTGTAATAAAGCCAGGTAACTGAAAGAGTAGAGAAAGCATCACAGCAGGAATCTATCTCGTGAATGATTTTGAAAGTTCCTTTTTGGTAGTGTGTCAAACCAAGTTGTGCTAAACTATTGTTATCCATTATAAAGTTTGCAATGCCAATAATTATCACTAAAATTATTGGTGAGTGAAGAATCGTTCTAAACGTATATTAAATAATGACCTAGCCCAGAACGTGGTGAACAGTAAACTGTATGCCTAATGCTTTGTTTTGTTTTGTTTGTGGATGATTCAACAAATAATCCTTTATATAGTGGATTAGAAAATGAAAAAAATTGAAATTGAAAAATAAAACAAGTTATCAAAATTTATTCGAAGCTCAAATTTCCCCGGCACTGGTACGCTCCTTTCTCAACACCTTTAACATGATTATTGAAGAACTAGCTAATTAGAAAACGTCATTCCCAGTTGATTATCGTAATATACTAATATATTTGCTTTCTGCCGCGAATTGTCTATTGCTCCTTTTAGTTAAACCGATATCGGTTTCATCCGTTTACAATAATGAATTGTGGATGAATTTTATTGCGCTATATCCAACTATGTTGTACTTTGTCAATGCTTTGGTATATAAAGGTCATGAAAGACATGTGCAGACATATAGAGTTATGTACTATTTAAAACACGAGTAGGAGTGTTTTATCAGATATATAACGCGAGGCGCAGCCGAGCGTTATATATCTGATAAAACACGACAACGAGTGTTTTGAATAGCTTAAAATACGACTACAAAAGAATACTAATTCGGATGAAGCATAGTATAATCATGCTAATTAAGATGAATTAACAATTATATAATGCCACATGTGTTTTATCAGATATAAAGTCACTCCACGTGACATATTATGGCTGACGTGATTTGCCACAAGGTTTATGAATTATTAATGAGTATTTTAAATATAATTTAAGCACGTAATATGAAGGCATTATAGAGCCAGCACATATAACAAAACGGACATGTAAATATGAATTGAGACGCGTATACCAAAATGATATAATATGCGAACATTTATTATACACAAAACTAAACAGTAAACATCGTGCCAAGTCGTTAAAATAGAGAGGTTAAGATACCCCGGTTTCGGTGTACGTGTACGGGTAGCATGATTTTTGTTAGCAATATTTTCGTCGATGTCTGTACCTTTACTCGTAATTAAGGTGCACATTTTTCGCATTATATCATTGTCTATTGCAAGAAAACAGAAAAAGTATGATCGAATTACAGACATCAGTAAAACAAGATGTCACTACTCGTACCCGTACACCGAAACCAGGGTATCTTAACCTCTCTAATATTATAAACACGTACCGTTGCACTGCATATTTTCAATGTATATAAAGGTGAGAGTTCATAGTTGATAAGCTTTTTTTTAGCAAATACACTAAACTTATTTTGACAAATACATCTGATTTGTGCTATATTATATACGAAGAACGATTTAAATCACAATGGTCAATGTACTTTATATTATTAATATCACTGGGATCAATGATCATGCATGCACATATATTAGATAGCTTAAGCATGTAGGACGGCAACGCGACGACGACGGCCAAAACAAATTCCTTCAAAAGTTCAAATAAATGATAGTAAAGAAAACTTGTCGTATATTATAATTCGTATGAATTTAATACGGTATAAGTATAGGATAGACAATGATCACTTGTGTTCAGTGGGATTATAGATTCCTCGAATTAGTTAGGGGCCGATTACATGGAGCATTTTCAATCCCGGGGTTGAACTCAGCCCTGTTTACCGGGTTGAAATTTCAGCCCTGTCTGTAATACAAACTCTATCAAAATCAAACGCGCGATTACATGACAAAATTTTCAACCCAGGGCTGAGTTCAACCCCGGGGTTGAAATTTCAACCCTGCTTGATTGATTCGGTTTTAGGGTTTCATTAATACAGGGTGAGTAGAAAAAACTGATACCTTCGCGGCTAATTTGAATAACAAAGGTGTCAGGTTTTTTTTACTCACCCTGTATGTCAGTAATAGGCATAGGCGTTTTTCGAAAGCATGGACGGGCTGTCGCAGCTGGAGCAACTTAAAGCGATTAATGCGACAACAAGATTTCTTCTTTCTGAACCAGTAAATATTTCAAAATATTTGGACGAATATGGAGAGTGTAGCAGGTTCGAGAAACCTACTACAAACGAACAAATAAAGCAAAGAGAGAGATAGAATTCCAAATAAAACTAGACAAAATTCCTCTTGGCTGGTAAACGTGTATCGACTATCGAGCTTGGGCTGAATACCGAAATACGAAAATTGAGACGGCCGTAAACGAATATTCTTCGGTTCCTCTTACTTTTGAAACGACGAGCGTGAAAAAGATCGACTATTGGTTAGTAAGATTTATTTTGGAAGCTAGGAAAAGGGATAGCAAGCCATACCCAGCGAACAGTTTATATAACATTGCTACTGGGCTATTGAGACATTTCAGAGACGATTTTAAGAGGTTTGATTTGAACATCCTGGCAAAGAACGACGCCAATTTCTCATCATTTAGAAACGCTTTGGATTCAAGGATGAAGAAATGACAAGTGCTGGCATTGGCACGACAAAAAATGTGGCAGATCCTCTAACGTTAGCAGACGAAGAACTGTTGTGGTCGTCATGCAGGCACTATTGGTTATTGAACGATACAAATTTATTAATTATATCTCAGGCGTGTGTGTGCATGGGAGTGTTGACTGTGTTTGTGTTTGTGTTTGTGTTTGTGTTTGTGTTTGTGTTTGTGTTTGTGTTTGTGTTTGTGTTTGTGTTTGTGTTTGTGTTTGTGTTTGTGTTTGTGTTTGTGTTTGTGTTCGTACGTGTAAGGATTGTGTGAATATACAGCTGTATTTTTTAGCTGTATATTAAATAAAAATTTTTGCAGTAAACCATTTTGTCTTTGACGCCTTTAAATGTAATCATTAGTATGCTCTATATATGTGGTCATTACTACGCTCTACAGTATAGAGGAGTGCTAACATTTCTTTACCCCGCAAATTCCCTGCGCTTCAAAGCCCACACCACTTGACGAATTAATATACTATGGGATATAGACCACTGAAATACTGTGTTCTGATTGGCCGAGTGGGTGTGATCATGTTCTAAGAAGCTGAAAGCATTGGCTTTATGTTTGAGAAGAGTTCTACTGACCGAATTTTAAGTTGCACTTGTTACGGCTTGAAATGCAGGCGTTGTATAAAAGACGTGAAAATCTGTGATTCGCCGTTGTAAACAGAGCGACGACTACGTCTGAAACTCCCCCGGGGCTTTAATTATTTATTTATTAATTATTTATTTATTTATTAATTATTTATTTCTTTTCATTGACTCATTGTATTGGTTGCCGTCGTCGTCGTGTTCCTGTCCTACATGCTTAAGCTCCCTATTTAAAAACAGACGACAACAAGAGCCTAAATCACTGATCTAAATGTCGTGAACCATATCATACAACGTTTTTCGGAGTGTTGGTTTTATTTCAAACAGTATAGAACCTCGAAAACTGTCAAATGCGATATTAACTAAATTGACAAGTTCTATACCTACGACCCTTTGGATACTAGCCCAATGCTCTGCCAACTGAGCTACGTGCATGGTCAGGTCGGTTCGAAACGAGTAAGTGATATTTCGGAACAGAATCTATAGTTCCTTCGATACCAGTGTAA